TGATAAAATGATTTATTTGGTTCTTTGTATTTTTGAGGTTTATTTTGACTATCTTGCTGTTTTTGTCTACATTCGGAAATACTATGTCCGTATCGTCGGCAATAATTACACCATTTTTTGAAAGATGGTTTGCCTTTAAAGTTCGGGTTCTTTTCGTAAATATTGAGTATTTCAGTGATTTTTTCAACGAGGTCTGTTTCTGATTCCTGTATATTATTAATATTAGTGGGAGTCGTTTCAATTCTGTTAACGTATTGTAATTTCAGATTTTCCGTTTCTTCTAGTTTCATCGTGATTTCTGCTTGTTCTAGTTTGTCTACTAGTTTTCGAAAATCTAAATCGGGTTCTCGAATTGAAGAAGGATGAGATGCTCTCTTTTTTATTGCTATTTTCCTTAATTGTGGTGTTAAGGTCATCATTAAGATTTCTGTCATCTTTGTGTTTTTATAGTCATGTGTATTTAATGAATATGCTTTTCGAACTAGTGTTTCGATTCGTACTGCTATTTGCTTGATGGTTTCGTTTGGTAATCTGCGAATTTCATTACATAAAACTCTTTGTTGTTGTTTGTTTCTTTCGGAGTCAAACATTTTTGAAAATTCTTGTGTAAATCTTTTCCAGTTTGATTTTATTTCTAGAGGTAGTACTGAAAACCATTTTTGGGCTGCGCCATCTAAGGTTGTTTGTATTAACGCTGTGCGTCGATGTATCCAGTTTTGATGTAGTGGCGTATTAATTGGTTCAGGTCCTATATTTAAAATCAGGTTTGCTGTTACTGCATTTAAATAATCTTCTACAGAGTATTCAGGGTCTGTTCCTGTGAAAACCATTAAAGGTTTGTTTGATGTTATTGATGATCCACCCATAAGGTATGGATTCATTGTCATTTGTAATGATTCTGCTGCATTTGGCATTTGAGAAAAATTTGAAAGTTGGTTTCTTGTTATTTCATGTTGTTGGAGATAATATGGGAGTGGTATTTCATTTTGCATTTGTGATGCTTGATACGAGTGTGCAGTCATTGGATTTTGTTGTTGAATTGGTTGAAAAGATTGTGTATTAATTAAATTTTGTTGTTGAATTGGTTGTTGATGTTGTGCATCTATTGATTGTGGAGAAAAATTTCTATGATTTGTACGTGTTCTCTGTATTCCTTGTCTACGATATTCTTGAGTATTTGGTGCAAATATATCTGGTTGTAAGAAATCGTCATCTGAGGATAAATAATCCATTTGATAAGATGTTTGTTTTTTATTTTTATTCTGTTGAAAAAATGGGTAATTTTCACTGCGATCCTGTGGAGGATTTGGTTGAAAATTTTTGGAATTATATTGGGCCGTTGGGTTATCCCAGTTTCGAGGTTTTGTATATTGATTAAAATTCCTTTGTGGTTGATAATTTGTTTTTGATGGATGTGTATAATTATAATTATGGTCTGCAAAGTTGTTTTTAGTGAATGTTTTGCGTGTTTTTGATGGTATTGTCATGGGTCTGTATGTTTGGTAATCCATATGTGAATATTTAGGGGCAACCGAAGGTTTAACGGTTGATTGTAAGGTTACCTGTGTTTGTGAAGGGTTTGTATTTCTTGGTGTTGTTAAATTTGGGCGTATTGGTGAAATACTTTGTTGTGTAGTTGTTGTGTGTACAATTTCTTCATTTATGAAGTGTGATGGTGTCTGGATATCTTGTTGAGTAAGATTCCTAGTTCCATTGAGGTTTTCGTTGTGTATGACTGTCGAGTTTAAACTATTATTTTGTGTATCGGGTAAAAATGTATTATAGTTTAATGGTGTTGCATCAATTGTTAATGGTATTACTCTTACATAATCTCTTATGTAAGATATTGTACCTATTGCTTGACTTGAGATTGATTGTGGAAAGCTTATAAATGCGGGATGAGACCATTCGGGGTCCCAAACATAATCTGATTGTTCTGTGATAGCGGTATCATCGTTCGAATTTTGGGGTCTAAAATTTTTTCTTGCTTGTGCAATTAAATCAATATTGTGTGTGAAATAATCTATTATGAACCATGCTAAAATTTTTTGTAAATCGTGTTTGGTATGTTGTGAAACGTCATCTTTCGTGAAATTTTCTTTAATGATGTTTAAATAACTAGAGAGTAGTGTAATTTCATGTCGTACTTTCAAATGTTTAGATGTTTCTGTCGGTGAGACATTTGTTAGTGGGATTTCGTTTTCTAATATCGAAATATAACTATATATTATTGCGAAAACTTCATTGGTGAATATGGAGTTTGCTCTTTGTGAGTTATGATATTGGATGCTTTTTATATATTCTGAAAAAACTTTTGAAAATTCTAAATCAAGGTCGTCTGTTTGAATAGTATATGTTCTATTATTATGGTTTGGGGAAGTGAATTCTATAGAGTAGATTCCATACTGTTGTGTTATGTTGCATATATCTTTTAGATAGTGATCTATGATTTGTCTTTTGATTTTTACATCGGGGAACTCTGTTTTACATGGACTGATTCCGGGTTCAAATAAATTTACGAGTAAATTTTGACAAAATATGTGTTGTCCTCTATCAGTATCTGCATCTACTATAAAAGGAAAGATTTCATCATCATCTGGAGTTTCTTCACCTGGGGTGTGCGTTGAACTCATTTTTTCGTTCGATTACTGTTAATATGTAATTATTAATGTGTCGAATTGGTTGATTCCAATTGTATAAATGTACTGGTTTGTGTTTGTACTGCTTTTTTATTCTTCTTTTTCCTCTTTGTGATGAATTTGAAGTTGTTTCTGAGTCAGAAAAATATAATTGATCGTGTTGTGGGTAATTTTTATCTATTGATTCTTTTAGTTTGTAAAGTTCGTCTAAACTGTTGGTTTCTGATTCTGAAAATGCGTTTCGATTTTTTGAAAATCTTTTTCGTGTTATTTGTCTTTGTTTAGTTATTATTTTTCTTTTTAGTGTTTGTCGTTTTGTTCGAATGTATCCAACTGTTTGTGTATGAGGTGTGATTACAAGGTCGTATTTTTTGTTATCTATTTCACAATTGTGTAAAACGATTGTTTGTTTATTTCCTAGGTTTTTAAATGACATAAGGTTTAGAATGACGGATGCAAAGGTTGTTAAATGATTTCTATTTTCCTAAACTGTTAGTTCTTACGATTTTTTGGTTAGCTTAACCTGGGTCTATTTGTTCAGGGTTGGAGAGAAAAGTATATCGATTCCGAAGAATGATTTTTACTTTCTCGTGACTAGTATAAGCTAAGGTGTTAACTTACTTAATCTTACTTAGGGGTAGTGATTGTGTTCAAGGGTTGGAGAATAGTAAATCGATCCACAAGGTTCAGGTATAATTAGAACGCGAGTAGTTCGTTAGATACTATTTTAAACTTACGAAGTCTAAGATTTATCCTGGGTCTGGTAAGAGGGGGGGTCAAGTGAAGGATGAATAACCGAAGTTCTTCACTGTTTATCCTAATTTGAATGATTAGTTTTGTTTTAAAAATTTCTATTAGTCTTGGGTCTTTAGAAAGGGTTGGGTAGTGAATCGACGTTTGAGGTCGTTAGACACTAATTAAGTGGGTGGGGGAGAACAAAGTTGTTTTGTTTGATCCAAGGATAAGCCTTGATGATCAAATTTAAAATTTAATTAAGTAGAAAATGATTTAAGATCCAAGGATAAGCCTTGATGATCTGGTTTTAAAATTAAGTGAATTTAAGTTTTAATAAAGTTTTAAATGTGTGTAAAGGAAAAATTTAGTGTTTTATGATGTTAGTGAGTTGATGATTGCTGTTATGTTTTAGATGATGAAGCTGGAACAACAGGATGATTTATGATTACTAACCATTTATTGTCATGCTACTAATTTTTATTTTTGTTTTCCAATAAATATTTTTCAAACATGTTTTGTATAATACTGCAGAGTTTTAGGAAAACGATCTTAGATCTTTTTATCAATCGTTATTGTATAATATTAATTTTGTTTAGCGCCTGAAATGATTTTGAAGAGTAACTTCAAGGTTTATGTTTGCAAATGGAAATCTAAATTCATTGCAAGTAGTATTCGAAATATAAAAGTTTGTTCTGGCTTTTGCCGAACTATCATATAACTATACGGCAAGTTTCTACTTTGTCGTATGTCGTCTTTGGTTCGAGGTCTCCTTCCAATTCCGGGTAGTTCTATTATGGTTCGGAATATTGGCTCTGATCTATTGAGTCGGAGAGACATTTCAATTAAATTATTGTCGTATAACATTTTGTAAATGTTTTTGTCTAATTTCTAATCTATTTTTGGTTAATTCTAATCTAGTAAGGTCTTGTTCGAGACTTATGGTCGCACCAGATGAGTTATGACCGAAGTGTAACTCATAGAGTAATTTCGGATAGGGTACACCGTCTGCTCGTCACGCTATCTTATTTTCGGCCGGATAGATTCGTGCAACTTCTTAGTCTAATACCGATCCTAATCTTACTCTTATACTATCTAGTCTCAGGTTGTTTAACTAGTCTCTGCTAGGCTCAATAGATCTAGGGTATACTGGTTTATTGCGGCTGCTGAAGTGCTCGGGAGAGTCCAACTAATTTCTAAGTTAAATTCAAATCTCTCTGGTGCTGAAATTACAAGTAACTTCAGCACTTACAAATAAGTGGGTTGTTAGTTAGATGGATCATGATTGGTTAATATTAAATACTTTACATTGGTAAAACATTTAATTTATCCAATCATAAAATATAGTTTAGATCAGGTTCCATTAAGCCAAACTTAAAAAAAATATAATCCAATTAAATATGTTTATCAATTCTCTTTATCCCTTAAAAAATCGAAAACTATTGACTGGGGAAAAATAAGTTCATTTGATTGTAACCAGCGCAATATTAAGTTATCGATTGTGGTAGAACTTAATTGGATCAAGTATTAATTTTCGAAAAATTTTTTTCAAAATCAACCAGCAAAAATTATATAAAATTGTTAAATTTCAGCAAAGCACCTGGTCAAATTTTTTTTTTCATTTTCCAGGTTTCGCAGCCAGTTCAAATCGACACTGCTGTGTCGCAAACTGACAGCCCGACCCAAAAACGCCCCCAGACCCCAAATGGGCGTGATTACTACTGGACAAACGACGGGAAACACCTCCAAAGTCTCAGTCAAAGTCCCAACTGGCCACACAGTGGCTAAAGCCCCCGCTGCAAACATGCCGACAATCAAAGATGTCCAGGAGTCTCCTGATCAAAAATCAGCTGGCGTGAACTCAAAGTCACGTGATGCAAATAAGGATAACACTCATCAAAAAGGCGCGCATTTAGCTCCTTTCCCCTGCAATTCCACCAGAGGTCAAGATAGTTCAAGAGATCGAAGCACTTCGTCGACCTCTGTGAATGCGGTTGACGATAAGGATGAAGGCGGTGTGGACTTCATAGAGCAAACTGATTGGTCGGAGGAGGGGTTCGACCTGGCCAATGGGAACGTTGAGGATGGCGCACATAATATCTTTGACAATTCCGAAATTTGAAAAATAAAGTCAATTACCCCCCCCCCCTCCTCTCTCTCTCTCGTCCCTTCAGCTCACGTCAGTTATTAACCCATGGCACTTGTTTGAGCTTATTTTTCTTTCGTGTGGTGATGTTGGTAAATTAACAGGGCTGTTGAGCGCTGTCACTTAAGAACCGCTGGAAAGCAGGGGCAAATTTGTAGGGATAGGGGTGGGTTAAACTAGCTCAAGAACCATCTTTCGTAGTGTATTATGAGCTCTACTGTTATCAACTACTCATAAATTAACCTTATATTTAATAATAAATCTGAGAATCTAGATCTAATTTTGAGGATCATTTTTTTCTAATGTCGAAAACGCGCAAAAACAGATTCCAGTGTGTCTGTCTCAGTTGTTTTTAGAACTTTATATTTTAGCTGACATCATTTCGCAATTTTTGGCAGATTATATATCTATCTTTATGCTTGTCATTGTTCTGCTGGTGATAGAAAATTTTTTTAATTGTTTTAAATAGTTTTAATATAAATAGTTTTGATTCTAATCATGACTTAATTTTAATAAAATTCTCTTAGTTTAGATTTCATTTCGTCAAAAGTAGCACTACAGCTTGTGCACAACTAAATTCAAGTTTCCCCGATTTAAAAAAAAATAATTGTAAAACATTTTATTTTCATCTTGACTTAATATAAGCTATTTACCACAAACCATTTCCTTACAAAAAAGAAAATTTATTGGGCAAAAAAGAAGATTTATTGGGCTATCGTTTACCCACATCCGTTAACTCAATATGTTGTGATTAATTTTAGCAATAATTCATTTCTCGCATGTTTATTTAACTTAAGTTCAATTTGTGTAGCCAAATGTTTTATGTGCAACCTTAACTGTTATATTTATGAGACTGAAAGTGTATTATTTTAAGTCGATAAAAATAAATATTTTATGGTAAAATCTAGTTTTGTAGCGATTAAGTAATAAATTTTCACTGTGGAACTCTCAGCTTTAAAATCAAAAATTCAGATACTCTCCCTTACATCAGAAAGCTTAGGTGCGTTGGCAGAGTTGGAGATCAGCGTACCGGAGATCAGGGGCGGATCTAGGATTTTCTGGAGGCGTAGGGCAGATTTTCAAAATGAATACTGAAAAAGTTTGATGACCTTTTTTTAGGTCATTCAAATCAAATTGATTTCAGAGCTCTCCCAAAAAAACCATAAAACCCTAATTTAACGAAAAATGTAGATGCTTGAGCAGGTTTCGAAAAACAGGTCCAGCACGCCGTTTAAGGCACCTTCACGTATAAAGTCCCTTTTTTCAGGAAAATCGAATATAGTTTCCCAAAAAAGTCATTTCCCAAAAAAATGGGCAGACTTGTTTTATCTCCATAACAGGAAACCTAAAATCAAAGCAGCTATTCTTCAACATTCTTTTCTATTTTACATTTTTTTAAAAAATCATAAAAGTTCAACTTAAACTGTAGATTGAAGAACTAATTTTTTTCCACGATTTAAAGATAAAATGAAAGCCGGAATCTATGTGAAACAAAGGCTCAAACAAATTGTGTTTAAAATCACGTGCAGTGCCCGGCGGCTTGATTTGTTTTTATCTATTTATGCGTAAGAGTTTATGCGACAGTTCTTTTTCACTCTTTCGAAGATGCTTGAAAGACTAAACAGACTTTAATGTTTTTTCACGCATCGATAAAATTGAATTTAAATAACTCCTAAATTATCAGTTGAAACCCGTTTCTACCGCAGAAATTCAAAAAGTTTAGTTTTGAAATTTTTTTGGTCAAATTTGAATATTATCGAGGCTAGTTGTATCACTTCAACTAAAAAAATAATCGCTTTAGCATGAAAATACTAACCGTACACCATTGTAACTTTCCTTTTTTCCTCAATTGCTTAGACCCATGAACAAAACTTGAATTTATCATAAGATAACTATTGTCTTATAATATGTTATGAGATATATCTATTAGCTATTTCTAAAAGAACTAGTTGTTGAGCAAACGTCAGGGACAAATGAGTCACTTTTTGCAGAAAAATGAAGAAAAATTTTTTCAAAATGTTATTATACAAATAGAATTCAGGTAGAATTTAGTACCAATCAAGCAACTATGAGAGAATAAAAAATAGTCTCCCCAGCACTTAATATTTATGATTTTTGTCTATGAAAACATAGACAAAAGCGCATTTGACAAGGAACAAATCCAAAAACAACAAAACTGCTCGTATCAGGGCGAAACCCTGATCGTTCCGACTCTCTTTTAAGATTAATGGAGCAGTAGTAACAAAAAAAATAAATGTGAAAAACTAAAATGAAAAAAAATATATTCTAAAATTTGATTTTTTTATGAAATCATCCCCCATACGCCATACAGTGTACAAAAGGATAGATTTTGCTCCTATGAACTAATCAACTATGGCAATTAAGCTTCCGTGAACCAATCTGGAACAATTTCTAAGACGGATTAAATCTCCGCTTACGCGTGAATAGCGCAAAATATATCGCGCGTTCATTGTCCCAAATTGGCCAAAATGGCAATATTTAAACTCTCATAACTTTACGAATAATGATCAGAGGTGGAGTATCTTTTCAAATTTAAGCTCAAGTCATTAATACCTTTTGAAAGATATTTAAAAAATTTAGTCAGAAATGGCTAGTTAAAAAGTCGAAAATTGTCTGAAGAAAAAAAACCCACCCCGAGCACAAATATTCCGTTACTTTCGTATCAAAAGTCGGAACAATAATTTGTTCTCTTAAAGTTTCTTCAGAAAATTTGAATATAATTCACTTTTCTAAAACACAGACAGACGACGGATTAGAACTATATAAATTGCTATTGTTTTCCAGAAATTCAGATACAGTATCGACTAGGGTAATATGAGTAGAAACAAGAATACTCCCGCATTGGCAAAAAAAGTTTCAATCGATTATAAGCATTTTTTGGTGTAGATTTTTTAGTATTAAGAAATCTATTGTATAAAACCCTATTAAGTCTAAACTGGATAATGTAAGGACTTTGAAAATTTCAGAAAAATCGATTATATAGTCTAGCAAAAAGATTTTTATGGTTTAAAATCTGTATACAATTTGTGCACAGTTTGTATAAAATAGATTTTAAGGCGTTTCCTAAGGAGCCAAAAAAATCAATCAAATTGTCCAAAAAATGGATTATATTGTCTAAAAAAAAGTGATTTTGCATTATTAGCAGTCTATTAAAAATTAAAACAATAAACACAAAAATATTCAAACTAAGCGACACAAATCATGAAAGTCTTCAATAAAAACAAGATTTTGCTCACAAACACATGAAAAACATGAACACAAAAACATTCAAACTACACGACACAAATCATGAAAATCTTCAATAAAAACAAAATTTTGGTCACCTGAATTTCATCAATTTAAACAAGATTTTGGGCGCAAAAAATGCGGTACTCTCCTGAAAACTATTCAAAAACAACAAGACTTTAGGCACAAAATAGTTCTGAACATCATCATTAGAATTGGACATCATCGACTTTAGTGCTTATAAATGACAAATAATTCATCAAAAATATCAAAATAAACGAAAATTTAGGCACAAAATATGCAATAAAAGTTTGAGTAACTGACAGTTGGAGAAGATTGATGAACAGAAGGAAACAAAAAAAGTTCTCTGAGTATATTCTGTTATGATAATTTGTGATGATATTTTTTAGTAGTTTTCTATGATTTTTTTTCACCAATTTTCTAAGAGTAAATTGTTTGAATACCACAGAAACTTAAATAATTTGAATCAAAACTTTCATATAGCTATTGCCGGTTATCAGAAGTACAACGAGCATGAACTCTGATTTTTGCTTTCAAATTTTTCAAGTTTTGTCCTCTTGATTTTTTTTGCTTTCCCTGTGTCCATTGTTTGCGTTTCACTCCTTTACTACAGCATGCATTTGGTAAATCAAGAACTATTTGTTATATAGCTATCCATACCAGTTACTTTGTTTGGATAATAAAAAAAACTTCTTTCTCTTCTAGAAGGTATTGGGCCAAACAAAGATAATATTGGGCCAAAAACATTTCACATTTTCCAAAGCAAAAGTGACAAGATGTACTGGTTCTAGCGTTGTTGGTCTGATATTTAACCAGCGGTCTGTTTTTAGGGCTACTCTTCGATATAAAGACTTGATATTAAAATTGAGTTACTGGAAAAAAAAACTGCGGAATTCACTGACAAATTGTTGACTCCAGCAACAAAACTACCAAATTGACCGCGGAGTCAAACAATAATATTTGGAATCCAGCGTCCAATATTTGGAGTCCCTTGAACGGCTAAAACACGTTTGTGGCAGGAATCCAATAATAAAATAATATTTCGCCTTTTTATAAGATCATAAACATTTGGAGCTTATTGAAAAATCTCTAAACACTCAAAAATTATATTCCTATCATCCAGACGCGTGAACCGACAATTTTTTGTTTTGCTACAAAATTGACCTTAGCGTGGTAATGAAGAGCAAAATAGCACTGAAACTTATTTGAAAAAGCCTCTTTTTTATTAGGCTGCCCTCAAAAAAGATTCCTGGAAAATCTCTGCGATACTAAATTCAATAGAATTTTGTGGAATATCCGAAAGATGAAGCTCCCACACCCCACCAAAGTGAGGAGCAGTTTGTGTATTAAGATAGAGTCAATTTAGTTCTGTTGAATCTTTTGTGCTATTTTATCTTTAATGATTTTCGAGGTTTTTTCATAACTTGTTTACGTGCGGCGGCAGAGTATGTTGCTTGATCGGGAAGACTTAGTTTCGGAGAACCACGTCAAGTCATAGATCTACAAATTGCATTGAAGCAATTCTCGTTTGTCTGATAGTTGGTATTTTCCAGCTGGATTGTAGGCATTATTGCACCAGCAAAGAAGCAAACTTTGTTTTTGTCTTTTTCAGCATTGCGGAATGAACAGTTGTTGTCAATTTCAACGATTTGAAAGGAACGTTTCTGGATCCTTTTCCGGATCGTCGAAGCAATGAGCGGGTAGATCAGACAAAAAGAATTTAGTTTAAACCTTTATATTGAAAGCAGCGGCAGAAGAAGTAGCGGTGGCGAATATGTGTGAAGGTTTTTCTGTGAGTCAAAATGGGAAACTTTGTTAAGTAGTGTCGTACAAAGTCTTTGCACAGATTAGAAAACTAGGAAAAAGAAGAACACTCTAAAAAGAAGAACAAAATTTTGGATGAAGATTTTAAAAAAAGGTTGCATAATTGATAATTACTCTTAAGTTGATTAAATTACTTTTTGTGAATAATGTGTTTTACAGTTTTTATGAATTTGGATTACTCTGTAATTTTTAGTTTGATTTTTAATTCTGGAGATGCACTAAAATTGTGCGAAAGGTATGTTTAATTCACAATTTCAACGGTATCGAGTTAATGATTTAGTTTTTGATGTATGCTGTTTTTTTTGCTTACAATACTTCTACAACTACCCCAGATAATACGGGGGCATCACATAAATTTCTCAATGTTTTTTATGCGCCGATTCTTTTTTTGGTAAAGTTTTTAATTTCTGGCGATTGGTTTCAATTTTCTCGGCTTTTTTTACCTGAATTTTAGGTAGTGCCCCATCTTATTCTAGCAATATAATTTGAGTACTCGAAATCAGCCCCTGGGAACTTTTATATCATTTTAAACATCAAGTGAGAAGTTTTTTTTATAAAGTTTTTTTTTGCAACTAAAACATCCTCCAAAGATCTAAGTGCTACTTTTCTAGCGCCATGCTGCTTTCATCTGATTGTGCATTTAATGCGAGTGGTGCTAAGCAATTGTTCGCTTTTGTAATTTTTTGTCCTGACGATGTACAAATTTACGAATTTTTAATGACCACAGTTTTTTACTTGTTTCATCAACCGTTCTGATAAAAGATTACACAACCGTCTAACTGTTTTCTTGGCAGAAAATCTTTCGGACAAAACGAATGATTTTTCTGCAATGTAAGTAATATTACATTTTGGTTGATTTTTTTTTCTGGAACCACCCAAAAGAACTGGTTGTAAACAACGACAGCCATGATCTTTATATTCAACATAAAATTAATTTCAATGTTGTTTTACTGCCTATAATCCTCACTGTGTAAACCGCAGACAGAAGCAGATGTTAAAACTAAAAGCAAACTCGATGAGGAAAATAGGAGGAGGGAAATAGGGCTAACCACTCCAAATGACAAGATCGCACGCTTTTTGACTCCTAACAATAACAAATTGGCATCTAAGCACCCAACAAAGGCTGAATATAAGTGCCTCAAACCCGGAAAGCCAATAATTTTTCGTAACTGAGTTCTATGATTAAAAAGTCAATTGTGTCATTTCCAAATGGTTTTGGAATAGGTTCGGACAATATTGTTCCGCTAGTTTTTATTGACCTGATTAAAAATCCAAATGGCAATGAGGGGCTCAATTGCTTTGAGTCGCTTACCATGCTCCTAAACCATTTATGGGAAGATAAAGTCACCAAATCCTTAGGCATTTTTTTGGAGCAAAGGATATCACCATCATAAGAATAGATAAAAATCTGCAACCGCTTGCTATTAATTACTTAAATTATTTTTTAGTATAGCATTTAGCTCGCTCAATAAAGAAACTACGTTAAATCACGTTTAATTTAACCGCCGGGAGTCATACAATTGTACTCCTTGCGTTAACACTAAACCGAGTTAATTCTTAAACGTAAATTCTATCGTTATTTCAGAGGACAAAACAAAGCAAAGCATGCCAAAACTTGGCCATTGTTAGCTGAAATAAATCAGTAGCTACTAAAAAACTGGTAATTTTAATTAAACGTTTGGTTTTTAGATGATGAAAATCTGGCCGACGACTATGAGAAGGTGACCATAAAAATATACTGAAACCGGAAAAGTTATGACTGATGCCCAAACACAGAAAAAGTTGAGCTTTTTGCTAATTGCTTTAGCTTGCAGAAACTATATTTTTGTGTGCAAACCCCTGATAAAACTTAAAAAAAACTTTAATATGATGATGTCTAAAATAACGTTTGAAATAACATTTTTAATTTCTTATTTCCATACTTTATGTAAGAACAAGAACTGTAGAAATGAATGATCGTCACGATACCTCTACAGTACGGTTCAGAAGCGACCACACCTTTTGACGTTCGACCCATGGGCTGTTGGTAGGCAAATCCTGCGGGATGTAACGGTAGTCGACTCCCTAGCCCCTAGTAGAATAAGCGCAGACTCAATATTTATCCTCGGAACGGTGACGACCGAGGAGGAAGATGGTGTAACTGATAAATATAGATCTTTAGTTATTGATGAATATATTTTTCGGCCATTAAACTTTGAAGTCGAGGGTGATGCCGGCCCTAGCAACAGATTTTTCTAAAGGAACTCAATATCAGGTCAACCTTTTGGGTTTCTTTCAGATCCGTTTGTTCCGGCAGATGTTAGTTTTTCCAATCTGGTTGGCTTGAATCTTTTTCATCTGACTCTCTACCTCTATTCACGTTCTACGATACTCTTCCATGTCTAGAAAATTCCTAGAATGTTGACTGGAATATGTGATGAAGAGACTTCTGACTGTAGCTTGGTTTTTATGATACGTTTTATTTTTTTTTGCAAAACTGAGTACATTTTATTTCGTCGTTTTGATTTTTTTTCTGAAAACTGCGATCAAGTTATGCTAATTATAGTTTTTTGTTTCTCATTCTGTTCTGAAGGGAAATGTTAGCCAGTCAATCTTGACTAACCAAGGAAAGCGCTGAGAAGGTTGATTGTGCTATGATTAACGTTAAGACCCGTTGGTCGTATTTCTAAGCTTTAAAAAAATGTTGTCTCAGTGTCGAGTAAATTTGGTCTTAATAATGTCGTTTTTCAGTCTTAATACAATGGGAGGTCGACCTTTCATCCGACATTCTACAAGAGTCTTCGGTTGCCGTGGTAATTTGATTGGCAATTTCTTGAATTCAAACTCTGTAGTAAATTTTACGCTGATGAGTTTGACCGAAGATGGATGGCATGTTCTGTCTTCAGGAAATGAAATACCAATACGAATGCCAACACCACAAAACCAACACCAAGGCCTCAATACCACTACCAATACCAATATCGAACTGAATCATCTTTACCAATACCAATACCAATACCAAACCCAGTCAATACCTCAATAATTTGTTACAATACCTCAATACTTTGTTACAATACCGCAAAAACCGTGAAAACTCATGAGACGTTTGAAACACGAAACATTTTGGATCAAAATGTCTTGCATAAAGAGTTCTCTACAATTTTCGTTTTTTTTTACATTTGAACAACGAACGGAGGGAATTCAATACTAGTTTTAGTAAACTTTTTTTGTTTAAATAGTTCAATTTTCTTTTTTTGTTGTTTTCGTTAGATTGTTTTTATGTTTTTTTTTACATATTAATTTAAGAATTTTTGTTTTTCCTCCATATATCTGTTTTATATCTCAGTCAAAACCCCTTGACTATCAAAATGGCAGGGAGAATCTCTAGGCTTTCAAATTTGAATGCCCTTATAAAGAAAAGTCTCGCCTCCATTTACATTCTTTCTGATTAAGAATCACGACACCTGTGGGATGTAACGGTAGTTGAATTCCTAGCCCCTAGTAGAGTACACGCAAGCTCTGTTTTTAACCCCGGAACGGCAGAGATGGAAGATCAAAAATGTGACAAAAATAGAGATTTAACTAATGATGGATGTATTTTTCAATCAATAGCTTTTGAAGTTCATGGTGTCGAGGGCCCTAGCACAGATGTTTCTGGATAAATTTTGTAACAACTTCTGCACGTGTACCGAGGAACCCAGGACAGACAGTTTGTTTAAGCAGAGAATCTCCCTCACAATATAGGTTGCGAACACTGCCTGTGTACCCGGCACTATTAATGATAAAAAGTACTTCACTTTCGAAGAAATTTTATATCTATAGAGCAAAGGGAACAAAAACCCAGCTTAATATATGTATATGATAGACCCGTAGCCTCATATCAGATCAGTCTTTTTGATTCTTTTTAAACTCCGGTATATTTTGTGCAGGTATTAGTTTTCTCAATCTGGTTAGCTTGATTCCCAACCATCTGACTCTCTTTACTTCTATCCACAGTATACTTTACTAACTTTTTCTAGTAACTTTTGAGGATTTTGGCTGGATAATGTGATGAAGGTACTCCTGGCTGTAACCTCGATATTTTTGAACTTCTGATTATTTTCTTAAATTGAGGATTTGATTGATGTAATAACGTCGTCTCATTTTATTCAAACATGAGTAACTAATCTGACTTCCTCACTAATATTAACTTTAAGCCTAATTGTTGTGATAAACTTATTAAATAGTTTCCGGTTTGAATGGCTGGTGCTCGACGTGGCAGATCTGGCTCGACTCTAGCTGGAGAAGACTCGTGTGCGAAGTTTGCGAAAGGCAGTGGGGCTTCCGGTGAACAGTGGATCTTCCGGTGAACAGCTTCCGGTGAACAGTGCGATATTTGCGAGGCTTGGTTTCACAATTCCTGCTCAGGACTTCCTGTCGAACTCATACCTCAAAATGCTAAACAAGCTAAGTTACTTCTTTTTTGCTGCAAAGTACAGTTGCAAAATTGAAAGAAATTATTGCTGAAACTATTTCTGAGCAATTGATTGTTGTGGTTGAAAAAGTTACAACTGAAGTTAATCGTGCAGACCCAGTGCCCGATCGGGGACACTTGGGCCCCCCAGTGCCACCCTCTTCTGCCATTCATAATATGGACAGCATTGATAAACGTAATGAATATACCTGAACTTACAAACTTGTCCAATGCAAAGCGTTTGGAACACGATGATGAACATTTAAAGAATATTCTAGAAACACTCGGTGAATGGGATAAAAACAACATTAATCTGGTAAAACGGCTTGGTCCCTTTAATGAACAATCAGATCGCCCTCGGTCCCTTATTGTTAAATTTTCCAATGAATGGAATGCTAGGAAATGCTTGACAAAAGGATATAAACTTCGGAATTATGATAACCCAGTCTATATTAGCAAATCGCTTTCAAAAGAAGAGGTTATTTTGATAAAGCGTGTTTTGAAAAAACGCTGGGAGCTCATGCAAAATGGAACTCCTAAAGTTGTGCTAAAAATCAAAAATCTGAAGGTTTTCCATAACAACGTAGAAATTATTATCCAGTCTTGACTATCAGACATTAGTATTATTGTGTGGAACATTCGCAGTATGGCGAGTGTACAAAAAACGATTAGACTGTGTTAACTTTCTATCTGTTTACAATCCTGAATTTCTATACCTTCAGAGACCTGGCTGGATACTACTGTTAATATATCCTTCCTGACTGTGGTTATACTGTTATATCACAAAACAATAGGCAAAATGGTATTCATGGTGGAGGTGCAATTGTGTACAAATCTTGCTCCCAGTATTCCGCTTACAATTTTACTAGCGCTGATTACGATTTTGCTTGTTGTTGTATTGTCAAATCCGACCCCCCTTTGCTTGTTGTTACTATTTACAACCACCAGTTTCTTCCGAGTACCGCATTCAGAGTAATGTGCTCAACTCGTGTATTTTATCAAATACTAGTAGATTTGCTGCTAGGCATCCTGATGGCTTTATTTGTATTTGCGGCCACTTTAATTCCCCAGATATCTGTTGGACGTCTTATACCGCTTGTTCAGACTATTCAAATTCAATCATTGATTTGTTTGAACAGTTTAATGACGCTCAGTTAGTCGAGAACAGTACTCATATTAACGGCAATGTTTTAGACATTTTTGTTACTAACTGTCCAAATCTTTGCTCTGTATCTGTCCTTTCCAGCACTTTTTGTTCGGATCATTATCCAATTTCTGTCAACATTCAAATTAATTACAACGAACGGGCATCCAGTTCCTGCGATGTTCCCGTTTACTCTCAAGGCAGTTTTAATCTTTCTAATTTTGACCTTGGTCTGATGTATTTCAACAATTTTCTTTTGTACTATTATCAAATGTTGTACAATGCTCAACCTTTTTTTGATAGTTGGTACAACATCCTAATAAATGCAGTTTACATGTCTGTTAATGTCAAGCGCAAGAAAAGGAAGCTTTTATCGTTTCATTTTTCTAGCCACTCTGTTCACGTCACTAATACGGTTGCTACTGAGAAGAGACGGTTAAAGTCTGTTGGGTTACTTAGCTCTCACAAGCTTGGTGATTTGCAGGCTACCCTTATGGAGTCCGTTGAGCTTGACAAATTAATATTAATATCTAATTTTGAAACTCTTGATACAAATAATTGTTACAAACTTCTTAAAAATTTATCTGGTGGTGGTATGCTACCTGCTGAAATTACTTACATGTCAGTAAAAGCGTCAAACGACCATTGCAAAACAAATTTATTCAATACGTTTTTATCTTCGGTTTTTAAACCGGAGCGGTTTTTTACGCCGATGCCTGAAGTGAGCGAAGACACTTGTATTAAATTAGATGAAGTCAATTTTAGTTCCAGTGATGTTGAACTGCTTTTAAAGAAAATTCCGGACACTGCCTCGGTTGCAGCTGATGGTATCCCCCCTTTCATTATTAGAAACTGTGCCAATATTTTAGCGCCGCTTGTTTACGTTCTTTTTACTTGCATTATTTCTACGCGTCTCTGGCCAAATATTTGGAAACAAGCGTATGTTATACCTTCTTTCAAATCTGGCAGTAAAATTGATGTGTGTAACTACAGAGGCATTAGTATTTTACCCCGATTGTCTCTCGTTCTAGAGAAGATCATTTTTAATTTTATTTACAACCATGTTCGTAACGAACTCTCGAATGCACAGCACGGATTTAGATGCCGGCGCAGTACGTTTACTCAGCTATTAGACTACATTGAAAAAGTGTACAGCTCTTGTGATGGTAATATTGATTATTATTCTGTTTATTTTGATGTTCAAGAAGCATTTGACACTGTGTCACACAATAAGTTATTATTCAAACTACGCGCTTTTGGTTTTGATGATGCGTTTATTGAGTTACTTTCTTCGTATCTTTCAGGTCGCACTCAGAGAGTCCGCATAAATACTTTTCTTTCGTCCTGTACTGCTGTTCCCAGTGGTGTACCACAGGGCAGTATTTTGGTCCCTTTGTTATTTTTAATTTTTTTTATTAATGATTTACCTGATTGTGTGAATTCGTCCAGTTGTTACCTTTTTGCAGACGATTTAAAGCTTTTCTCAAAATCTAGATCCGAGTTATTCCAAAACGATACTAACTCAGCTGCAAATTGGGTCAAGGATAATGGTTTAACTTTTCACCCCAGCAAAACTGTGTTACTCACAAATGTCACTTTTTTAATGATACTGCCATAACTATATCCAATTCGGTTCAAGATTTGGGTGTCAATTTATGTCCAGACCTTAATTGGAACAACCATATCAATATTAATTTGGGCAAAAGCATGCGGAGCTTTCATTATATCAAACGGACTGTTCCTTTTAGCGCCCCGATAAAGACGAAGTTATCTGTGTATGTTGCCTGTGTTCAAAGTATTCTTTTGTATAACTCATGTGTCTGGAACCCAAAAATGACTTTGCTCAAAAAAATGGAAAAATCTCACAAACAAGAAAGCTGTAAAATGGGTTTCTGGGAGAGATAATTATGTTGCTGCCCTTTTGACTTTACGTATTTTACCCATTTGCTATCAATGTAACATTCGCCCGGAAGATACATATCGACGGAGAACAAAACTAAGTCCTAAGACGACTGGCTAACGTCTAAACAGAGCTTTGCATGTTTTTCACCGTCTCTACCAAGCCAGTACTTTCGGTGGTCTTTCCAACATCGGGTCGACAAAAAAAACGTTACTGCTTTCGGCCTCGGTCAAAACACTCAAATTAACTGAAATACATGCAGAAATAGTGAGCTCATGGCTGGGTCTCAGTATCTCCAGACCACGAGGTCACTCCTAAAAACAGGGCTACTACTACTTATTGAATTATTATTGTTTTTGTTCAGTAGATAAAAATCATCATCTCCATCGAAGATGGATCAACCCTTTCCCCCAACTCCTAGCTTCTCATTCTAGCAAAATGAATTCAGATGTTAGTTAAATTCAAATCAGGACATGCCAGGGAAGCTAAAAGTTCATATAAGATGATAAAAGTTCCAGCCCCGAAACCCCTCCTGATTCTCGAATCCACTGAATCAAGCACGTTAAGCTTGATTTATCTGTAACCCGGAAGGCTGGTTTCCACCCCTCACTGTTGTTAGCAACTGCCTTGCAACTATTGTAGCGACACAATAGTTGCAACTTGGAGCGGTTTCTGCTACTTCTGCTTTTCTCTGATTCCGATTCTCAATTTTCTCGTTGTTGTCGTCGTCGCAACTATCGTTGTTGTGTCCTTCTTCGACGTTTCTGCCAAAATGGCCGTTTCTGACGTTTCTCAGTAATATGACGTCATAATTCGAATTTTTAAAATTTTAAAATACCAGAACATTCTAGCCCTCACCGTTTTGCCAATCGTTCCAATAAAGCTCTTATTCCCTCAAAATCGCCAATTCGGAAGGTTCACTGCTAAAATTTCGAATATGCTGAATCTGCATTTTGATCCATTCTGGTCGAATGTCACATACTCCCCGGACAGTCCGGTCAATGTCCTCATTGAATCTCGCAAAGTTCGTAAAATAGGCACAGTGTCATCGAACAGAATTTACAAAATGCACGAAATTACTTTTATCCACGTCACATCGACTCACTGCAGAATATAAATGGCATCATACTACATCACTATAGCCTTCAAATTCTTTCATTAATCTGCACATTGAGGATATGACCTAGGATAAAAACATATTTTCCGATTTCCAATGTCAACGTCCTGATTAAAACTTTTTCTCCTAGATTTAAAAGATGTTGGTTTGCAGGACAGTCCTGCCAACCAACAAGCTAAAATTATCCTACTATGCTTCATCCCTTCGGACTTCTCGCTTGTTATTGTCCTGAATATTAAAACTAAGTAACTCTGTGGTTAGAAAGAACAATGAAACAATCTCCCTCTTCGAGAGATTACCCAAGCCTTTCATGTCACCACAAAGTGATTAGTTCTCCTAGCTGATTAAAAACAATCATGCAGGCTGGAATATTTAAATATACTTTTTCACTCAAGCCTTTCTAAATAAATAGTAAGTAAGTGTCTCTAAAGCCACTTAACTAAAATCAAAACGCAAATTTATAAATGCAACAACTTCAAAACTCAACTAAATGTTTCCGTTTTCAATTACAACTTGGTTGCTTAGTTTCTCACTTGAGTTTTTTCACACACATAAAACAATTCTGAGTTTTAACTTTTTCTTCATCACTCCTTTGTTTTCTTCTTTTTTCGT